CAAAACACAGATTAGGCACCCCCCCCCCATGGGGGGAGGCTCCAGGCTGAGAAGCAGGCTGCGCTCTAAAGTATGGTGCTCACAGGGAGTGGGGCAGCCCGGGATGGCCTGTCACAACCTTTAGAAACAAATTAGGGAAAAATCTCTTCCTCCCAGTGAGGCAATTAAGACAAACAAGGAAATGCTCTTTAACCAGATTTTTTTAAGGTGAAAAAAAAAAAAAAAAAAAACAAGAAAAAAAAAAAAAACACCACCTCACCCCTCCTCACCCATATCCCCAGACAATTCAGTTCTAAAGCAGGCCTAGGGTGGGTGTCCCAGGGATCAGAGCCCAGGTGCAGGGAGTGGGTGCCAGGCAGAGAAGAGGGTGGGCCCGGGACCCAGCCAGCAGCATACATAGCTTGAGCAAACCAGTAAACAAGGTAATGATCTAGACACCAGTAGGAAGAGAAAACTTAATGAGAAAGGAGGGACATCTGGGTGGCTCAGCAGTTGAGCATCTGCCTTTGGCTCAGGGTGACCCCAGGGTCCTGGGATTGAGCCCCACATCAGGCTCCCTTTAGGGAGCCTGCTTCTCCCTCTGCCTCTCTCTGGGTCTCTCATGAATAAGCAAATAAAATCTTTTTTTTTTAATTATTTATTTATTTATGATAGGCACACAGTGAGAGAGAGAGAGAGAGGCAGAGACATAGGCAGAGGAAGAAGCAGGCTCCATGCACCGGGAGCCCGACGTGGGATTCGATCCCGGGTCTCCAGGATCACGCCCTGGGCCAAAGGCAGGCACTAAACCGCTGCGCCACCCAGGGATCCCCCGCAAATAAAATCTTTAAAAAAAAAAAAAAAAAAGAAAAGCAAGAAAGGGAAATATAGTTCTTTATGAAGATGGAAGAGAACCCATGTACCCATCAAATTAACAACGGTTACCTCCAGGTGACAGAACTAGTGAGAAACTAGGAGATTTTCACCCTGAACTTCACTGGCTTTCTGTGTTTAACCTGAGCTGCTTATGTGGTTTTCTCCCGAACACTGTGTATTTTATCGTATCATCAACTTAGTAGACCATCAGCGGTGCCAAGTAGAGAAAGCACCCAGAGCAGCTATCGTCCTGTGCAACCCAGTCTGGTCACAGCCCCAACACCTCCCCGTCACACCCTTACATGTGGGGCCCAGAAAATTAAATACATGCCAGCTTTGGCAATCCTCACGATCTAACCAAGCTATAATCTCACTCTTGCGGGAGGAGAGGCTCCCCCAGGGACCATCGCCTCCCTTGAGGTCACAGTTGTGGGGGCATGAACACAGGTGTCTTGTCCCCTTCTCTGCTTCGCACAGGTGACCACAGAGCAGAGAGAAGGCAGTGGCACTGCCAGAAACCACAGGAGGCCTACTGGCGGTGGACGCGGGTGCAAGCTGTAGGGGAGGTCAGGCCGGACATCAAGACCTTGGGGAAGTTCAGCCGCGGCCCCAATGCGCAGGGCAGGAGCAGAAGGAAAGGTGGGCTGTGGACCATACTGAACCGCCAATGCCATTTCCTGCACCCCAGCACAGGAGGCAGCAGAGCCACCAGGCCAATGTGGGGGCCACCCTCTACGGACACAGGCTGTGCTGCTCCCCTCCCACACAACTCGGACGTGAGATGACAGGGATGAAGCAGGGATGGGAGAAGCCACTGGGTTGCCCTTAGATTTTTCTTATTCATGAGAGATACAGAGAGAGGCAGGGACACAGGCAGAGGGAGAAGCAGGCTCCCCACAGTAGCCTGATGCAGGACTCGATCCCAGGACCCCAGGATCACACCCTGAGCCAAAGGCAGATGCTCAACCTCTGAGCCTCCCAGGTGTCCCTCGCTGGGCTGCCCTTAGCTCCAAATTTCTCCATCTGCACTGCTGGCCCCAGGTCCTGAGCCTGGAAGGGACGTGAGCTTCTCCCTTTGCTGGGCCTCTCTCTGCCCCTGAGAGGACCTGTGTCATCTGTGACTTATAATACATCAATCCAGGAAAAGCACAGCCCCTGCGTAAAGGATGAGTGTGATGGAATGAATGGTTGTATCACCAGATTCCTCTGTTGGGCTCCCAACCCCCAAAGCGACTGAGTTTGGAAATAGGGCCTTTGTGGAAGGGATTAAGATTAACTATGGCCACAAGGTTGGAGCCCTGCTGCAAGAGAACAGGTGTCCTTAGAAGAGGAGATACCAGAGACAGATCTCTCTCTCTCTCTCTCTCTCTCTCTCTCTCTCTCTCTCTCTCTACCACATGAGGACACAGAAGAGGCGCCCCGTGCATGCCAAGAGGAGAGCTCTCACCAGGACCCAAATCCCCTATCACCCCAATCTTGGGCTCCCAGCTTCCAGAACAGTAAGAAACAAGCTTCTGTTGTTTAATCCCCCTGGATGTGGGATTTTTGTTATAGAAGCTGAAACAGACTGAGACTTGAGGGATGCTCAAAAAGAATAAAGTAAATGTAATACAACAAATAGAACAGAAACAAAATAATGAAATAATATACAGGATTTGCCCAAATCTTAGAGTAACACAATGGGGGGTGGTGGAGATGAGACAGAAAGTCGTGGCATGAGGACCAAGTTATTCTATGCCTAAGAGCAAATCTCAGCAAAAAAGAACAAAATAGGGCAGATAGTGTTTCAAAGAGATTAACAGCAATTTCCTGAAAATATACCTAATATAAGTCAAAACAAATGCAGAGAGAAGGAGCTGAGATCTATATATAGCTGGGGCAGGGGGCTGTTTTCAATGTCAAGGACAAGCAGGGAGATATTTACAAGTCTCAGCAAGATCAGGGTATATCAACAAAGATACAAAAGCAGGCTGGAATCAGACTATTCCCCTGCAACACTCAATGGAAAAAAAGGCAAAGGACAAGTCGTTATTCCTATTATTTTCAGATAGGTAAGAATTCAGAAGGTACCCCCTGGGTGTTACACCACAGCCATTACCCTTAACACACGAAGACTCTTACAAATCAGTAAGAAAGGAAATCTCGTCTTACTGCACATTCTCCTAGCGCTCAGGTGTAGTCTGTGCCATGCCCCCCCCCAGCTACCCCTGAACCCTCTGGTCTGTACCCCGACGGGCACTGGAGTTTGGACCTCCATGCCCTCCGCTTGCTGCTGAGGCCCCTTATGTAGATGTCTCACATCTCAAACAGCCTGAGCACCAAACAGAGCCAATGCTTCTCCATCTATTACTTTACATAAACCCCTTTGCAATTCATCATCCCCTGTCCAGACGCTAGAAGCCCTCCCGGATGCCGCCTCTCCTCCACCATCCACAGCACACCACTTTCTGCCAGCTGGTTCTTGCTCCTTCTCTGCCTCTGGGCCCTTGGAGACTATCCAGGCTCCATCATCCCACAGCCAGCCTCGTGGCACTGAATGCATTCCCTCGCATTGCATCTAGACCCTTAATGAGCTGGTCCCTGCTCCCTGTGGGGCCACCTCTCACCTCTCCTAGCCGAATGCAATCTTACTGCCACATCACCAGAGGCGTGCTGAGCTCCCTCTTGGCACCTGGGTGCCTCGGCTGCAACAGCCTCCCTCTGACTTCTTTGGCACTCAGGTCAAGTCCACCTCTGCCACAACCCCCTCTTCCATGAGCCCTGTCCTAAACCACACAGCTAGTTGTGATCCCCAGCACACCCTCCATCAGAGCTCCATCAGATGCCTACTGAGCTGGAGAATTAGTTCAAGGTAGAAGCGCCCATCACTTGGGCATCCCCAGTTCCCAGGCCGGTGGGAGGCGATGAATGGGGAGCCCATGATCGCTGAATGCCATGCGATATACTCTTACACTCTTGCACTTCAGGACACTATGAACCTCAGCTTTCAAAGCCTGGAGTGCCTCTGTTGGCAAAGGTCTGCACTCTAAAAGCTGCTGAGGCCAACGCACTGGCAAAATTGAGGGAGTTCTCCATTTACCCATATTGACCGAAAAGCAGTGTGTATGGACTACTGCCCATTTCATCACGGGAAGATGCTGGCTAGGCTGGGCTCCCTGGGTTCCCTGGATCAGTCACCTGTGCCGGCTTTGACCTAGGAGCCCGTGATGCAAAACGGGACAAGAAGGTCTCTCTTTGGTGGCGGCAGCAGATGGTTTGGGGCATTTTCTCCAGCTTTGCAGCCTTGAGTGGATACCCAACAGCTCCCAATGATATCGTGAGGTGTCCTGCATTCCACTAATAAGCAAACGCCTTTTCTTCCCAACTCAGCCAGAAGCAGCTTCTTCACAGCTCAGAGCCTGAATGATCCAACAAATTCATCTTGGCAGCCAAGAATTTTCAAAGTGGTCAAGTAACAAACCCACTAAGTACCACGAGTACAAACAGAGTGTGGTCCTGAAGGCACAAGCACAGCTTTGTGTTTGTCTCCAAAAATGTCCGAAAACAATCCTAGAAGAGGACAGCCGCAATGCACTCAGCAGGGGGAGCAGAAGTGCCACTTCTTGCAATGACCGTCCTGGGCTGAAGCACACGTACTGGGATGTACACCTGCCAGGCTCTCTCCCTAATGGTCCCGTCGTGTTACACGGATACACCCTCAGCAAGCAGCACCTGGCTTTTCCTTACACCTATAGGTCAAGTGTAAATATGCCTGATACACTATCACTAGTGAGCGAGAGTAGTGAGTTCACCAGCATCTCTCCGTTCCCCATCTCCACCACTGCCTCTAGGTGAAGGGATGACAAGGCTGGGTTTCTGGTGCAACTTCACATTCCAAGACTTTGGACGCAGCAGGGCAAGAGGTGCCCCACGGTGAGCTCTGTGCAAACAAACTCTGCATCGTCCCAAAGGCACAACAAAAATGTGTCCAAGGATGGATCAGCCTCTCCTTGTACCTCTTAATGTAGTAGGACAGATTTCTGGACCATTCCCGTCCTAAGGTTTATCTCCCGAGCTGAGTTCACGTGCAGCACGCCCCCCTCCGCCACCCCTCACCTCTTGGCAGCTGCTCCCCAGCCAAGGAGGGAAGGAAACGTGGGTCTTACCTGCCTGAGCGGCTGTGATTAGAGCTGTGTTCCCCTCCTTGTCCTGCCAGTTGACGTCAACGTGAGGGCACTCGGCTAAGACCACAACAGTGTCCACAAAGCCGTGGTAGCAGGCGACAATGAGGCCAGTCTAGAAGTGAAGAGGGAAGCGGTCAGAGGGGGCTGAGCCCGAGTATCACTGCTGCACCCCCTGTGCACACATGGTCTCCCAGGGGAGGGAGCCTGGGCCAGCAGCCAGGTGAACACAGAGAACCCCGAGTCCCGGTTCTGGCTGGCAGTTTAGAACCAGCCAGCCATGTGTCCTCTCAACTGTTCCATGCTGACCATGAGAGAGGAAGGATGCCTGGGAAACCTCAGGAAGCAAGGTCCCTGCCCCGTACGCTTTGCCTTCTAACAGGAGGAAAAACGGCAAACTGCAGACCTGCCAGATGAGTCCTGACCATGGATTGGTAAGGGGGCTAGGGTAAGGGAGGCTGTGAGTGCAGGGGCGGCGTGGCTCAGTGTCATATAGGGTGCTCGGGTGGGCTACCTGGGAAGGGGACACTGGACAAAGATGGCAAGGAGGCGAGGAAGGGCCAAGGGCCATGGGGGGAGCATCCAGCTGGGAAGCCCGTGGGCCGGAGCCCTGTGAGCCAGAAGGAGGAGGTCAAGGGGGCATCAGAACCCCAGAGGTCACAGCACAAATCCTGAGACAGGTGGCATTTTGAGCAGTCACTTGTCAAGTATCTTCAAGTCTAGCAGCTGGATGGAAATAGACTCCAGGACACAGGCCTGGAAGTGGGGAGACCCGTTGGGAGTGGTGGTATAATAAAAAATATGTATATCTGGTCTTTGTCCCAGGTTCCTGGCACTCAGCTCTGAAAACCCTCAGAAATCACCAATTCTTACATGCCAGTGAGATGCTTCACTTGGGTGGGGGACAATGCTGGTACCTTCAGGATGGAGGCCAGTCTCTGGAAAGACCGACTACCATGGAAGTAGGTTAGATCTTGCTTCTCTGCACACTCCCAACCCCACCTCCAGGGAGGGGAACGGGCCTGGAGATTGAGTTCAATCACCAATGGCCAATGACTGAATAACCTAGAGCAAATCATGCCTACTTACTGAAAACTTCATAAAAACCCCAAAACAGTGGGGCCTGAGGGGCTTCTGGGTTGGTGAACACACTGAAGTGCTTAGGAGGGTGGTGCCCCCTGGGAAAAGGCAACACAAGCGCCAAACCCCTGTCTCATACCTTGCCCTGAGCATCTCTTCCATTTGGCTGTTCCTGGCTTTTATCCTCTATAATAAACCAATGATAGTAAGTAAAGCGCTTTCCTGAGTTCTGTTATTCTAGCGAATTATCAAACTTGAAGGGGGGGGTGGGAACCCCCAAATTTGTAGCCAGTTGGTCAGAAGGTAACCCCTGAATTGGGACCTGGAGTCTGAAATAGAGGAGGTCTGGTGGGACTGGCCCTACACCTCTGGGGTCTCTGCTAACTCTGGATAGTGAGGGTCAGAATTAATTGAATCACTAGAGACCCTGGTGGTGGCCAGAGAAGTGGAGAATTGGTAAGGGAAAACCACTAGTGTCAGAAAAAAAAACATCACAGGGGACTCCTGCAGAGGCTGGCCAGGGGACGATGGCAGTCATCCATGAGCCAGGAAGCAAGCCCTCACCAGGACCCCAGATTTCTAGGCTCCAGAATGGTGAGAAACGAATTTCTGCTATTTGATCGGCCACCACTTTCATTTTGCTATAGCAGCCGCGCTAAATACTTTGCAACAGGGGCGCCGGGGCGGCTCAGTCATGCAGTGTCTGTCTTGGGCTCAGATCATGGTCCTGGTCTGATAGAGCCCCCCATCAGGCTCCCTGCTCAGCAGGGAACCTGCTTCTCCCTCTTCCCTCCGCTCATGCCCTCTCTGTCAAATAAATAAATAAATAAAATTGTTAATAAAATAAAAGACAGGAGAGCAGGAGTGAGCCCAGGCCGACTCTACTTATTAAGCGGCTACGGCTTTCAATGTCTCCGATCCGATCCCGAGGGTTCACTGCCCCCACCACCCGCCTTCTCCCACCCAGCGTGTCTGCTCACTGCTGCACGAGTGGTCCAGAAAATTGGTGACTCCACTTGGTAAGCACCAAAATCTCATTTTTTGAATTCTTTGGATGGAGGTAGTTCTCAAGTATCTGACAATTTCCTGACTTATAAGCAAGGCATGCTGAACACAATGCAGCTTCTTCCTTTTTACATCATTACACAAGAAGCTCATCTTTATTACAGGAAAAAAAATCCAATAACGGAGAAGGAAAAAACTTATCTAGACACACACAATCTCACAAACACAAGACGTACACACATGTGCACACACACACGGACGTCTTTTCTATACCAAAATAGGATTGTTTGCTATATGTTTTGATGAGGAATAGATCAGCAACATCTTTTCACATCAATGGAAACACTTTTGTGTCAACATTTCCAGCAAATGTGGAACATTATATTCTACTACGACAGAATCATAGTTATCTGATGAATCCCCACTTTGGACGCGGAGATTGATTCCCATTTTTCTGTATTCTGAGTAAAACTGGCAGTGAAAATCCCTAGAATCATGGCTTCATGAATCTCTTTCCTTAGGATCTCAGGAGACATTCTTAGAAGCAGTATTTCTGCATTAAAGGAAAGAGATATTCTGAAAGCTTTGAACACATATTGAAAACTGGCCCTTCAAAAATATCCCAAAGGGTACCCACTTTTGCCAATCTGGACATCCAATCTTTACTTAAGGGCTCTGGGTTAAAAGGACAAATTTAATAAAGGAGAATTTCAATAAAGCGATGCTCTTGTGAGCTCCTGAGCACCTGGCTCTTGATTCTGCTCTTTTGGGATCATGCTCACCTCCATTCCTTGCTACCACAACCACTGAGAGGGCCCATGTTCTGGAACCACAGCCCCTACTGGCCACCAAGGTAAGACTTCCCAAGTGTGCAGCACACCACTGCTGACAGTAGTCTTAGAAATCTTGAGAGAAAGAAAGAAAGAAAGAAAGAAAGAAAGAAAGAAAGAAAGAAAGAAAGAAAGAAAGAAATCTTAGCACAACCTCAGATCAGAAATGATGATTACCAGGGGGAAAAAATAGAAACCTAAATTTTGAGGGCTCAGGATAAAATGATATCGGATGCAGAATTGATACCTGTCATCTCCCAACACAGACTGATTTACGTTACTATTAAAAACAATTACCTTCAGAAAAAGAAAAATTACCTTTGTTCCCTACCCTCTAAGGGGCTCCCTCCAAAAGTCTAACATTTCCATGTGTAAAACTAGTGTTTAACTAGTGTTAACTCTATGGTAGCTGGAGCATCTTGGTGCCCCCGACAGGACGGTAGGAGGTACAATCTTTGGCACCCTCAGACCATGGTATCCCAAGACAAACCGCAACAAAAGACTTGTCACGAAGGCAAATAAATATTAACCACTCGCTAAACTGACAGAAGCTCACTTGCAGATGGTCGCTGAGGCCACACATAGGCTGTTTTTTTTTCTTAATTTCAAGCAAAATGTCCATGAGAATAAAATAATATTCTTAAGAAAAAATAAGGAGCACTTGGGTGGTTCCGTTGATTAAGTGTCTGCCTTCAGCTCAGGTCATGAGCCTGGGGTCCTGGAATCGAGCCCTATGTCAGTAAGGAGCCTGCTTCTCCCTCTCCTTCAGTAGCTCCCCTGATTGTATTTCCTCTCTCTTTTTCTCTCCTCCGTGTCAAATAAATAAAGAAAATCTTTAAAAAAAAATAAACTATCTATTTGGACATCAGCTAGAAATTCAAGTCCCTCAAAACATGAGCTTAATTTCTAAGTCTACACACCATAGAAACATTGGCACAACACAACAAAAAAAAAAAATGAGTTGAGATATTTCTGTTTAAGAACTGCAAGTCTGCACATCAAAAAAAAAAAAAATATATATATATATATACACACACACACACAAACCAAAACCCCATTCCTTGCAAAGAGAAAGGAGGATCTAACACCAGGATTTTAGTAACATCATTTATTATATATTGACAGATGAAAGATGGAGGCAGGAGAAAGAAAGGTCATTAGCGTGCGCACACACACGCACACACAAGAAAATGCACAGGAAACATCTAGATGAATTATACCAAAGTATCAATGCCCTCTGCAAAAGGAAAGAAAGTAGGGTAAACGTGATGGTTAATTTTATGTGTCATAATTTTATGTTGTACCCAGATGTTTGGTCAAACATTACTCTAGATGTTTCTGTGAAGGTGTTTTTTGTTTTGTTTTGTTTTATAAGACTAAGATTTGAATCAGTATACTGAGCAAAGCAGATTGCTCTCCATGACGTGGGTGGGCCTCCTTCAATCAGCTGAAAGCCTGAAGAGAACAAAGACAGGCCTCCCCTGTGCAGGCAGGAATTGTGCCAAGGGAAGGCCTTGGACTTGAACCACAGCTCTTCTCTGGGTCTCCAGCCTGCCAGCCCACCCTGCTGATCTTGGATTCGCCAAGCCTCCGCAATTGTGTGAACCAATTCCTCAACAGCAAAAATCTGTGTGTATATCTGTGTGTATATATAGCTGCTATATGGTTACATACAGACATGTGTCTACATGTGTGTGCATCCAGTAAAAATATACGGAGATATATGGACATAGATAATATAGATGTCCACAGAGGCACACACAGACTCGACTGGTCTGTTTTTCTGGGGACTCCTGATTAAGACAAGGCAGGGAAGAAAGGAACACTTTGAAGGAACTGCTTTTTATTCTGTGTGTTTCCATACAGTTCATGTTCTTTAAAACAAAGTTGTATTTGTGAGAAACTTACATGATTTTTAAGGCACAATGAAAAAACAAGTACAGGTAATGATGTCTACATTCATGATGTTCTCATTAGGAAACACAGTTTTCTAACAACCACTGTAAACAGTGGAGAAGAGAACCCAACTGTGAGGGGGGAGGAGGGGCAGCTGGCGGGAGACAACAGGAGCTGACAAATAGCCAAGCAAAGAGACCCAGACACCAAGAAGGACATACAGACCCCGCGGCCATGTGGTACAAAAATACAGTAATTATCCTGATTATCCAGAAGAAAATGGAGATTACCCATGTTCTAAAAT